ATCCCGTCTCTATCAAAAAATGAGAAATATTAGCCGTTTTTGGTGGTGTGCACCTGTAGTCCCAGCTACTCGGGAGGCTGAGGTAGGAGGAGGATCCCTTGAGCCAGGGAGGTCGAGGCTGCAGTGAGCTGTTATTACATCATTTTTACAAAGAGGCAATAAAGGCCCAACACTGGCAATAAAGACCCTAGCACATGCTCACCTCCATCAGGAGGTGACAGAGGCTCAGCAGATGCTCACACACTATTAGCTGCTTGGCTGATGCCCCTCTCTCCTCTTCCCCACAGAGGCCAGACCCTGAGCTCTTCGACCCCAGCAGCTGTCCTGGAGAATGGCTGAGTGAGCCAGACTGGACCCTGGAGGGCATCAGGGGCCCCAGGGCTCAGGGGCTCCCACCCCGCCACTCCTACCAGCACGGTGCGCACCGGGCCACCAGCTTTCTCCAGCATGTCAGCGGGCACCACTGATGGTGATTCCACCCCTGCCCGTCACTGGGGGCTGCACTAGCTGGGCTGGCATCCCCTCCCAACCTGAACTGCTCCTCAGAGCCATCTCCTGAACCATAAATTATTCTTACAGAAAGATAGTTATCCAGAAATTCCCATTCCCCTGCCTGCAGTGCGTGCCTGCATACCTCTCCTGAATGCAGCAGGGCTTTGAAGTCTGGCCTGTGCCCCTTGGCTAGAGGGACAGCAGGAAGGGGGCTGCACCCCACTGGCCCTGCACCCATCCTCGGCCCTGTTGCCTCTGTCTATTTCAATACAGAAGTGTTCAACAGTCCTGCTTCAAGCCTGCTCTCACTGCCTGGGGCTTGAACTGGCTCTGGAGGGATGGGGGCTCCAGAGTGGTACCCAGGGACTTGCACTGCAATGCTGGGCCCACTTGACCACTGGCTCAGGCTGGAGCCTAGGCTGCTGTCACACCAGGAGGGAAACGCTGTGCTTGGTTGACTAACCCATGCCCTAAATATGCTATGTGCTTGGCATGCTGGGAATCTACCCTCAGAACATGCTGTGTGCTCAGCATGTGTTCATAAGCTGGCCAGGTGCTGGGGTCTCCTTGTCTGTTGACCTGTCCCTCCTACGTGTTTATGGGGTTGGCATGCACTCATCTACATTTGGGGCATGCTCAGTGTCAATCCACTTGGCAGGCTGAAATTCACACGAGGTGCATGCTCCCATGTTCAGCCATGCTAGGTCCGCCATGGTGGGATGTGGCAATGGTTTGGTCCCTCCCAGTCAATCTGGGAACATGCTTCTGTTCAGCACATGCTGCCCCATGCTGGCTACATGAGTGTTAAGTCCATGCCAGGCCACAGGGTGGCCTGCTGCGCGTTCAGCACAGATCAGCCCGCGCGTACTGCATGCTAAGGGCTCAGCACATGCCAGTGACAGGCTGAGGGCTCAGCACACAAGGATGTCCCCACCAGAGGCCCATGCCAGCTGTCCTCTACCCCTACACCCCATCTCACACCACTCAGTTGGGCACTGGCTGTACAGACAAATTATTTACTTCTTATTATAACCTTGGGCCCTTTTTTGCCCTGGAAAGTGGGGATAGGCCAGGGGGGCCGGGCCCAGCATGCACCACCACTTCTTTGGGGGCTGATCCCTCCCCCAGCTCTGCTGGGTCCCAGGGCCACAGCGTCAGGCCGGTGGGGGCAGAGGTAGAGGTGGGAGAGCAGGGGAGAGAGCCTGAGGAGCCACAATGGGGCAGACAGAAGCGGGGGCACGGGGACAGGGACCATGACCCAGAGCATCTGGGTCCGTGGGGGCCCAGCAGGCCTCGGCCTGTCCGCTGGACCAGGCCTCAGAGCAGGCGGCAGGCGTTGCCCACGCTGTCAGCTGAGGTGTCAAGGTCATGGCTGTAAGGGGAGTCCCAGTCCCTCAGGAAAACGGCCTCCAGCTGGCTCCGCAGGCCACCCCTCCCGTTCTGCGTCACCAGCAGCGAGGTACCCGCCGTCTCTGTGAAGTAGTTGCCCGACCAGTTGGAGGTTCCTAGAGAGGAGTGGGTGGGGTGAGGGGCGCCGTGAGGGGCCGGGCCTGGTGTCTGAAGCCCCCACTTCTTCGGCGCCTCGTGGTGCTCAGGACACACTCACCAATGTAGGTGGCGCGTTCGGTCACCATGTACTTGTTGTGGTTGACGCGGGCATATGGGATTCGGGCCTGGGCCTCATCCGCGGGGACCACAAAGAGTTTCTGAGGGGGAAGGGTGGATGGGAAGGAGAGTAAGAGGCAAGGGAAGTCGGAGGAGCCCCAGGATCAGGGAGGCAGATCTGCCTGCAGACCGGCTACTGTTTGTTCCTGGGGGCTTGTCTCAGGGACCCCCGTTTCCAGAACATCTTCCTTGGCCCTTCCCACCAGGGCAGGGGCTTCCTCTGGGCATCCCCACGCTGGCCCCTACCCCTCTGCCTGGGCCTCCCATCTCAGCCCTGACCCTTCTACCTGCTCGCTCTCCCAGTCCTGGTCCCAACCCTTCTCCCTGTGCCCCCCCAATCCTGGCCCCAACCCCTTTGCCTGAGCTTCCTCCATCCCAGCCCTGACCCCTCTGCCTGTGCCCCGTACCCCGGTCCTAACCCCTCTCTCCCTGCCCCTGCATCCCAGCCACAACCCCTGTGTCTCCTCCTCCCAGCATGACCCATGGTTTCCCCACTGTGACAGGGCTCACTCTGGACCATCCTTGGCGAGTGACAGACAACCTCCATGAGGGCTGTGTCCCCAGGACTGCCCCACACAGGGGCCGAGGGGTGGCCTGGGGCAGTGCTTACCACCTGGATGTCAGAGTGGGTATGGTTGTCACGCAGGGCAGCCAGGGAGAGCAGGAAGGCCCGTATGGATGGGTCCGAGTGTCCCCAGCAGCTGACGAGCAGGCGCACCTTGACACCACGCTCATAGGAGGCCCGTCGCAGCCCGTCGTCAATGGCAGGCCAGAACCTGGGAACAGTGTGTGGGAGGTGAAGGCAGGATGCAGAGGGTGGCTGCGTCCACAGGCTTTGGGGAACCAAGCCTGGGCCCTCCTTTAGCTACTGGGAGGACTTCTTCATCTCTGGCTCCCAGACCCCGTTCCTGCCTCCAGAAATCCCACATCCCTACTTCCTCTTCCTGGCTCTGGCTCCCATTCCCGCTCCCCAAAACCCAGTCTTGTCATCCTCTTTTCTTTTTGAGATAGGTTCTTGCTCTGTCACCCAGGCTGGAGGGAGCAGTGGCACGATCATAGCTCAGTGCAGCCTCCAACTCCTGGGCTCAAGTGCTTCATCCTCCTGCCTCAGTCTCCTGCGTAGCTGGGACTGCAGGCGGGTGCCACTGCACTGGGGTAATCTTTAAATTTTTCTGTAGAGATGGGGTCTCACTATGTTGCCCAGGCTGGTCTCAAACTCCTAGTGATCCTCCTGCCTCAGCCTCTCAAAGTGTTGGGATTACAGGTGTGAGCCAGCACGCCTGGACCTATCATCTTACCTACTGCCCCTAGAATACCTTCTCTGAGCCCCACAAACCCCATCATCCACCTGGATGTTACAGTGGGTATGGTTATCTTTTTTTTTTTTTTCTTAGGCAGAGTTTCACTGTTTTTGCCCAGGGTGGAGTGCAATGGCACAATCTTGGCTCACCACAACCTCCATTTCCCGGGTTCCAGTGATTCTCCTGCCTCAGCCTCGCCAGTAGCTAGGATTACAGGCACCATCAAGCTGGGCTAATTTTGTATTTTTAGTAGAGACAGGTTTCTCCATGTTGGTCAAGTTGGTCTCGAACTCCTGACCTCAGGTGATCTGCCTGCCTTGGCCTCCCAAAGTGCTGGGATTACAGGCATGAGCCACCTCGCCTGGCCTGGTTGTTATCCTTATCCCAGGATCACAAATACCCAAGCTTGCTACCCTAAACCCAAATACTTTAGCCCCCATCCCCCAAGCCCCTCACTCTGTTTCCAGCCTCTTACCTCTCCAAATACCACATCCTGCACCCCTGCCTCAGGCTTCCAGTCCCCAATCCTTGTCCCATCCCCAATATTCTTATCTTTCTCTTTTTTGTTGTTTTTTTTGAGACAGAGTCTCGCTCTGTCACCCAGGCTGGAGGGCAGTGGCACGACCTCAACTCACTGCAACCTCCGCCTCCCAGGTTCAAGCAATTCTCCTGCCTCAGCCTCCCAAGTAGCTGGGATTAAAGGCAGGTGCCATCACACCTGGCTAATTTTTACATTTTTAGGAGAGACGGGATTTCACCATGCTAGCCAGGCTGGTCTTGAACTCCTGACCTCAAGTGATCTCCCCACCTCGGCCCCCCAAAGCGCTGGGATTACAGGCGTGAGCCACTGTGCCTGGTCCTCTCATCCTTTTCTCTGTTCCCTCAAACCTTGTCCTGAAACCTCATCCCTGTCTCCTCTGTAATCCCTCTGTCTCCTGTCTCTAGTGCCCAGATACCTTCTTTTCATCACCTCCTGGTGACTGTCTCTCCCTGCGGCTTCTCTTCCATCTGGCCCCTTGCTTGGAGCTCCACCAGCTTTCTGGTCCCCATGACTCCCTCTCCCGTCTCCTGTCTACCTGCTGTGGCTCCCTATCTCCACGCCCGGCAGTACCTGCGAGGGTGGGAGAACTCCAGAGTGGGCAAGTAGTTCATGACTGCGATGTAGATGAAACTCCGGGCACTGTCCACCACGTTGAGTAGAGCCTTCAGGTCTGGAGTGCGGCCACTTGGACACAGGGGTGGGGGCGCACTCTGAGGGTGAGGGGACAGTCAAGACACATGCCCTGCCAGGGGCATCGTCACAGTAGACGTCTCATATGGACAGCTCACCACAAGCCAGGTCCTGTGGATCTCACAGAATCCTCAGCTTTCATGAAGAGGAGGGTCAATCACTACGTCCATTTCACAGGTGAGGGAACTGAGGCTGAGAGGGTAGGTGACTTACTTAAGGTCACACAGCAGATAAATGGAGCCGGGATTCGAACCCAGGCTGTCTGGTTCCAGAATTTATGCTCTAACCCAGTGCTTCTCAACGTAAGGTCCCTGATCCAGCGGCAACGGCATCACCTGGGAACTTGTTAGAAATGCAAATTCTTGTGCCTCACTGCTCATGGCCTACTGCATCAGTGCTGGGGTGGGGCCCAGGAATCTGGGTTTTAACAAGCCCTTCAGGTGATTCTGAGGCATGCTCAGGCTTGAGGACTTCTGCTTGAGTCACTTCTTTTTCTTTAATTACCCCCACTCCCTCCCCCCCCATTTTTTTGGGGACAGAGTCTTGCTCTGCTGCCCAGGCTGGAGTGCAGTGGCACAGTCGTGGCTCATTGCAACCTCCGCCTCCCGGGTTCAAGCAATTATCCTGTCTCAGCCTCCTGAGTAGCTGGGACTACAGGTGTCCACCACCATGCCCAGCTCATTTTTGCATTTTTAGTAGAGACAGAATTTCACCATATCGGTCAGGCTGGTCTCAAACTTCTAACCTTAGCTGATCACCCACCTCGGCCTCCCAAAGTGCTAGGATTATAGGCATGAGCCATAAAGCCCAGCCTCGTCATTTTCTTCCCTGATTTGCTCACAGCCCACCCTGACTGTGAAGCCCTTGTGTGCCCGGTGCCACACTAGGCCCTCTTCCCAGCTCCACCGCCCCCCTTTTTTTTGAGGCAGAATCTCACTGTCACCCAGGCTGGAATTCAATGGTGCAATCTCAGCTCCCTGCAACCTCCACCTCCTGGGTTCAAGTGATTCTCCTGCCTCAGCCTCCCAAGTAGCTGGGATTACAGGTGCCTGCCATCATGCCTTGCTAATTTTTGGTAGAGACGGGGTTTCACCACGTTTGCCAGGCTGGTCTCCAACCCCTGAACTCAAGCGGTCAGCCTGCCAGGCCTCCCAAAGTGCTAGGATTACAGGGGTAAGCCACAGTGCCTGGCGCCCCAGCTCCCTTAATGCTCAACAGACAAGGAAACGGAGGCTCTAAAAGGGGAAGTGGTAATGAGGAGAGCCTTGGTTCCCTGTGGGAGGCCCCCTAGTGAACGACTCCAGTGAGGCGTGCCTCCTTGCGTCCACGCTTTAGTGTCGTGCCTTCCACGGTGACTCTGGGCTTGGACAGGTGACTTGCTCAGGAGGACCTAGGGAGACCTGGGTTGCCTGCCTCAACTAGTGAAAATATCAAGAGCTAATTGTCCAGAGTGATTAGTATCTACCATGGGCAAGAGCCAGTGTGGTCCAATAGAGCCTGTCATAGTGATGGAAATGTCCAATGTGGCGGCCACTTGCTACAGTGGTGCTACAGGTGCCACTGAGCGTATGAAATGTGGCTACTCCAGGAGGAACTGAATTTTGTCTTTGTTTTAGAAACAGGGCAACAGCCTGTTGCCCAGGCTGGAGTCCAATGGTACAATCAGCTCACTGCAGCTCCAAACTCCTGGGCTCAAGTGATCCTCCTGCCTTGGCATCCCCAGGGACTACAGGTGCATGCAACCACACACGGCTAATTTTTATTAATATTATTTTTTTGTAAAAATGGTGTCTCCCTAGTTCTTGGGTATCCTGTCTAGAACAATAAATAATAAAACCAAAAAGAAAAAAGAAATGGTGTTTCCCTACGTTGCCCAGGCTGGTCTTGAACTCCTGGCCTCAAGTATTCCTCCCATCTTGTCCTCCCAAAGTGCTGGGATTACAGGCATGAACAACCATGCCTGGCTTGAAAAAAATTCTTTTTGAGACAGACTGTCACCCAGGCTACAGTGCAGTGGTATGATCATGGCTCACTGTGCCTTGATTTCCTGGGCTCAAGTGATCCCCCTACCTCAGCCTCCCAAGTAGCTAGGACTACACACATGCACCACCCCACCGAGCTATTTTTTTTTTTTTTTTGTAAAGACAGAGTCTTGCTATGTTGTCTAGGCTGGTCTCAAACTCCTGGCCTCAAGTGATCCTCTTACCTCAGCCTCCCAAAGTGTTGGGATTACAGGCATAAACCACTTTACCTGGCCTGAATTGTTAACTGCATTTAATTAACTTAAATTGAAAGAGCCACCTGTGGCTAATTCAAGTGATTCTCTGCCTCAGCCTCCCGAGTAGCTGGGATTACAGGCACCCACCACCATGCCTGGCTAATTTTTTTGTATTTTGAGCAGAGATGGGGTTTCACCTTCTTGGCCAGGCTGGTCTTGAACTCCTGACCTCGTGATCCACCTGCCTCAGCCTCCCAAAGTGCTGGGATTACAGGCGTGAGCCACCGTGCCTGGCCCGTTTTCTAACTGAAATAGAGGCCCAAGGATGTTGGGAACTAGGCCAGACCCCTGACCAAGCAGAATAAGCTGGGGTGAGGACTAGTGGTCAGGATATGCCCTCCCTATCACCAGCAGACAGTGACAGATGGAGGCTGTGAGTGATGGCATGGGGCTGGGACACAGCAGGCCCCGCTTGCCCCAGACTCACCGCCAGGTAGGCCAGAGCAGGGGTTCCATTGAGGCAGATCTCCATTGGTGTCTCTTGGTTGTAGCGGGTGTCATAGGGCCGGGGCCAAGTTGATGGGATGGAGCTGCCTGCCTGGCCCAGGAACCAGTAGGCCTCAAAGATCTTGGTCAGGTCACGGGCCAGGCAGCTGCAGTTGTACATGACCACGCCCAGCTCCTTGACCTGTGGGAGGCAGTGCTGAGCTCAGGGATAGCGGCCTGGTGCTCACAGAGGATAGGGACACTCCCCAGCCTTGTCTCTGTCTATCCCTCTGTCCCTCAGTGCCCCCTCCACCCCAGCTCCAATAGCTAAAACCCTAGAATGATTATCAACTTAAGTTTTGATGAAAATCAGTTATCGAATCAGTTCAGAGTTTCCTGAACCTCTGCAATCTGCTTCTACCCTCCATGGAGCTAGCTCCTACTCGTTCTTAGGTCTAGGCTGACATGCTTCCTCCTTCAGGAAGCCTCCCATGACTACCCAGCCTGTGCCAGGCATTCCTCTGGGCTCTCAATAGTCCCTTGGGATTCCCTTCTCATTCTCTGTGGTGACAAACTGGTCTTCCCATTGGTTGGGAGGACAGGCACCAGGGATGTCTCAGTCACAGCTGTATCTGTAGCATCTCCCTACGTAATTGCTGAGATTAAGGGTTAGGGGAAATACTTGTTGAGGAAATGAATTTGTGAGTTAATGTCCTGTCTTATCTTCACCTGATTGCCCGAGCTGTTTTCTCTTCCCTATTTTGGGCTAATTCCTCCCTATCCTTCAGGGATCAGATTAGTTAGACCTCCTTTGGGAAACCCTCCCATACCCCAGGCTGGGGTCCCTGAGCTTCCACGGCCCTCAGTTCCCTCCATCCTGGCCCTGACCCTCTGTCTATGTCTCCCCAACCCCAGCCCTTACCCCTCTGGGCTGTCACTGTCAGGTGACAGGCCAGTCTGCACTGGACTGGGAGTTCCATGAGGTCCATCTGCTACTACCATGTTGCCAACATTACCTGGGATGGGGCTGGACTTAGAGCAGGCACACAGAGATGTACAATGAAGGTCAAATGGGTATGCAGGTCCTTAATGCCCCGTAGAGGGGCTGGTAGCTGCAATCGTGAATCAGAGGGAGCTCCAGGCTTCCAGGAGTAGGGGGAGGGCAGCAGAGGGCTCCATCTGGGGATTATTCTTTTCTTTTGAGATGGTGTTTCACTCTGTCGCCCAGGCTGGAGTGCAATGGCACAATCTCGGCTCACTGCAACCTCTGCCTCCTGGGTTCAAGTGATTCTCTTGCCTCAGCCTCCCCAGTAGCTGGGATTAGTGGCGCCTGCCACTATGTCTGGCTAATTTTTAAATTTTTAGTAGAGATGGGGTTTCACCATGTTGGTCAGGCTGGTCTCAAACTCCCGACCTCAGGTGGTCCACTCACCTTGGCCTCCCAAAGTGCTGGGATTACAGGCATGAGCCACCGAGCCTGGCCTATTCTTTTTCATTTTAACAGGGTCTCACTCTGTTGCTCAGGCTGGAGTGCAGTGGCACAAATACAACCCACTGTAGCCTCGAACTCCTGGACTTAAGTGATCCTCCCGCTTCAACCTCCCAAGTAGCTGGGACCACAGGCATGTGCCACCACACCTGGCAATTTTTTTTTTTTTTTGGAAGAGATGTTGCCCAGACTGGTCTCCAACTCCTGGGCTCAAGTGATCCTCCCACCATGGGCTCCCAAAGTGTTGGGACTACAGGTGTGAGCCACCATGCCCAGCTTGGATTAGGGAGGCCTGGAAGGAAGCAGGGAGGAAGTCATTGCAGAGGATGGGTGGAGAGGACTCTGGATTGAGTAAGGGGTGCAGTTGGAGGCTGGGTGCCCTGTGGGGCAGTGAGTGACCTGGAAGGAAGGTAGACAGGGTGTAGGCAGACCTGGGTCAGTGAGCGCCAGTCCATGTTGGCACTGCCCAGGTAGAAGTGCGTCTGGTCCACCACCCAGAACTTGGTATGCAGGACGCCATGGGTCAGCTTCTGCATGTCTACCATGCGAACCTGGGCACCTGTGACCAGCAGGGGCAGTGATCAGGGGCCAGGCTGGGTAACCTCAGGCCCACCCCAACCCCAGTTGGGCCCCAGCTCACCGCTCTGCAGAAGGGCCTGCAGGTCCGCCTGAGGCTGGGGCCCGTTGGGCTTGCTCACAGCGATGCGGACATTCACGCCCTTTGGTGCCAGGGTCTGCAGCTGCTGGAGGACCTCTTCACCCTGTGGGGAGGGGAGGGGAGGGTAGAGCTTCTGAGGGGCTGGACCAACCAGCTGTCCAACCCCACAAGGCAATGCCCAGTGGGGTTATTTTAAGACATGATTAGGCATCAACAGGCTTTCCATTAGCCTGCATAAAGACTTTACAGATTAAAATATTAAGACTTCGTTATCTGTTTAAAACATCTTTATCTGCTTTAATAATTAGTCGCCTGTGATCCCCCTCCAAGGCCTCCAGATCCCTCTTGCCCCTCAGGGACCTTCTCAAAATTCAGCATCAAGGCAGGCCCTCCAGGCCTCTCCCAGGATGTTGTAGGCAAGGCTCAGGCACGGGGGTCCCAGAAGGCATGGGGTGAAGCACAATGATGCCAACAATAGCACCAGTCAAGGATGCCCATCCTAGGCCCCTTCTCAGCGAACTCACTGAATTCTCACAACCCGGTGAGGCCAGTCTAATTATACCCCCACCTCCACCCTGGAGAACTCAGTAGTGGAGTGGGATTTTGTTTGTTTGTGGAGACAGAGTCTTGCTATGTTGCCCAGGCTGATCTTAAGTTCCTGGGCTCAAGCAGTCCTCCTGCCTCAGTCTCCCAAGTAGCTGGTACTACAGGAGTGCACCACCACACCCATCTCTGGTGCAGGATTTGCAGATCATCTGCCTCCTACATGTGTTTTAAACCACTTCAGAGGGAGCCAGCAGGGAGTGGGAGCTCACACGGTTTAACTTAAAAAAATTGCTTTTTTAGAGACAGGGCCTCACTATGTTGCCCAGGCTAGAGTGCAGTGGCACCATCATGGCTCACTGTAGCCTCCAACTCCTAGGCTCAAGCCATTCTCTTGCTTCATCCTCCCAAGTAGCCGGGACCACAGGTGTGTGCCACTATGCCTGGCTTTGGTTTTTAACTTTTGTAATTATTATTACTTTTTCTTTTTTTTTTTTTGAGATAGACTTTTGCTATGTTGCCCGGGCTGGAGGATAGTGGCATGATCACGGCTCACTGCAGCCTCCAATTCCTGAGCTCAAGCCATCCTCCTCCTTCCATCTTCTGAGTATCTGAGATTGCAGGCATGCACAACACCCTGCTAATTTTTTTTGATTTTTAGCAGAGGTGGAGTCTCACTATGTGGCTCAGGCTAGTCTCGAACTCTTGGGCTAAAGCAATCATCCTGTCTAGGCCTCCCAAAGTGGTGGGATTACATGTGTAAGTCACCATGCCTGGCCAAAATTATTTTTTTTCAGGCAGCTCTTAAGGAGCCTTGTAATTTCAGTAAGTTTTAAGACAACTTCTCACAAAAAGAGGCAGTAGGGAGAAGAAAACGGAACAAATTCGTGGTTTTTCCTTTTTTTCTGTTTTTTGTTTTTTTTTT